AATAGTAGAATGATCATGCCCCCCCCCTTTTTTTGCACGATTAAAAAAAAACTACCAAAAAAAAAAACACCCCTGAAAAATAAGAGAAAGTCTTTCCTTGTAGTAGATCTAGGCTAGCTAAAGAGACTTCAGTTGATTGAGACAAATTATGTTTATTTCACGACGTGCCATACGCTCATGTAGATGTAAATATCACCATCCACTTTTAAAAAGCCATGTTACACTAGGCTACCTCTTCATAAAAAGTGCATTGCTATTATTTTAGCTTGATAATTATTAATTATTTCAATGGTTTTTTTGGAGAGGGGGTGGGGGGTGGGGGGATTATGACCTCTCTTTATCTTCACATGTCTTCATTCCTAACTCGGAGAGTCTCGATGAAGTATATTTCACAGGTGAAATGTGAAGTAGAATCTAATTTCTCTGTCTAGAACGTGTTTCTTTATCTTTCGAGCCGATATCTTGTTTTTTGACAGTCTGCAGACTGTCAACGTTTACGAGCACAAATGGTTAGTTGCATACCATCAGGTAAATATTATCTGTTGTTTTTTGGGGGGTTTTTTTACAATCTGCAGACGACTAAAGCTTAACACAATACATAACAATGTGTACGAGCGGTCAGCCGCACGGCATAATACAGCATATTTGATCTCTGTCTGGTTCTTGTGCCCCATGTCTGCATCTATTGTGTGGGCAGCGTCACGTTATATTTGGACAATTCACAAGTCTCAAGCTGTAAGCCCAAACCTATGCCTATGCCTAACCTTAAGCGAAGGTTATTGTCCTTAATTAAAATACAAGGAGCGAGGGATGCACGTGCTAAATTCACAATGGGAACGTTTGATACATCGTGGGAAGTAATATTCTTTTATGAGATCTAGCCTAAATTATAATGTTCTTACGAACAGACGCATATTGTAGCAACGTGTGAATTAGTAGGAGTTTGTTTGGTATTTTTCATTATCAAATTGCATTGTTAACCCAAGATGTTTTGTTGTATTTTTTTTATATATATTTTTTTTGGAATAAGGTCATACGGCCCAACATGTACCAAATACAGGATTGTCTTGTTTCTCTGATTGAATTAAAACACGGGAAAGGGGACTTTGTTTGTGGGGGGGGGGGGGGGGGGGGATAATAGTCGTGATCTGGGAAAACTTGAGTAAGAAAGCAAAGAACTGACCTCCGACTTGTAGACCTAAGAGTTCATTTGAATACTCATACCCTGGTTTAGTTATCGATTTGCCTTTTGAGGAGATAGATCTAATATAATTATTAATAAAAAGAGACAGAAATGTTGGTGACTAATTGGAATATTTGGGTTTCTTTTTAAAATTATTTTTTAAAGTTTTGCTTTGTTTGTTTGGGTTTGGTTGTTCTTTTTTTCTTCAGGGAAACTCTTTCCAAAACACACCATATAATATGTACTGTGCAGGAAAAAGAAACAAATTATGAGCTCGTGAAGTAGACTGTGGGATTTCAAAAAAGCACACATGGGGTTAGATTCTATGCAGTTCTCATCTGTATTAAGTTATATAATAATAATATAATATGCAATACATGTAGTTGTAATAGACTGCATAATACATGTGTTATATAATAATATACATATTATATATTATTATATGATGCTGTAATAGGTTATAATATGTGTATATGAAGTTGCAAGAGGTTATAATATAAATGTATAATATGAAGTTACAATAGGTTGTATGTAATATATATGTATAATATGAAGTGTTAATAGATTATAATAATATATATTATATACAATATGAAGTTGGGGTGGGTTATAACACGCAGTAGTGATACGTGCAGCACTCATATACACCAAATATTACCATTGAAGTCCGAGTAGTACATTGTCGGTGTGGTGCGTGACGTAGAAACTGTACGTTGTGTTGCTCAGGAATCGATAGACAACCACAAGGTATCTACCACAGGACGTCGGGGGTGTCGGTAAACTGGGGACACCCTTCTGTTAGCTTGGGGGGAGGGAGGGAGCGTCTCACTCTAGTAGTAGTAGTAGCTGCTCTACACATTCACAGCTGGACTAGAAAGTCATCCATGATTCACAGAAAGAAAACACTCCGTCTAAAAACACTCTGTCTAAAAACACTCCGTCTGTCTGTCTATTCTGATGATGATAATTAGGTTCTGTGAACGTTCTTGTAGTACCTGTCTGCTAGTTGCCTCGATATAATCCGTAGAAATATTATCTTGTGAGCGTGTCAGAATGCGAGTTTTTTATTCCTCTCGTATGAGTTTGTCCAATCTAAGTAACAGAATCAATGCCTCGTTTTATCATGGATGTATTTTATCATTTGAGGTCTAGATCTAACTACAATATGATGCGAAGTTTGTTAAAGATTGATAATAAGTGTACCCCGAATCTTAGTTGATGGCGTTGTTCAACTAGATTTGAACGAGTATATTAATTATATATTTTTAAACGTGAAACTGAAAGGAGTGCGTGCCTGCTGGGGAAAAGGTGACGATCTGCTACGCTTTGCGGGACGACCTAATTTGTTGAGTACTCAAAATGATCATAGATTAGTACTCAGAGCGTTTCTACGTTTTGTGACTACTTTGGGCATACTAAAGAAGATGTCGACCACACTGGTACTGGTCACGTGGGAGTTCTTGGTTCGAAGCCACGTGGGGGTACTTGGAGAATATACAATGTCTGCTTGCATTTTTCTCCATTGTGAAAAGTTAGGCCCTAAATTTCATATGAGAACACAATATTTCAGTACTAACTGAACTCTCAGAAGTCGGCACGTCTACTGACTAAATGTCACCTCATTGTTTGTTTGTTTGTTTGTTTGTTTGTTTGTCTTATCTAATTTTGTTTTGTTTTTGCTTTGTTTTCGTTTTTGGGGATTTTTCCCTTCTCTTGTCTTCTTTATTAATTAAAAATATCTCCTTTCCTTAACTAAAGGCTCATGCCAAAGGGGCGTGCCTTTTCTCCAAATGTTGGTGGGTAATACATACTTGTAACTTGTAGCCTTGATCTAGATCTACATTTTTTTAGAAACTGAAAAATCTAAAATGAACATATTTTAAACTTGCTACAAGTAAGAAAGCAAAGAACTGACCTCCGACTTGTAGACCTAAGAGTTCATTTGAATACTCATACCCTGGTTTAGAGGAACAATACATTATTCCCCAATACACATAAATAGCGCAAAACTACAACATTCTCTTACCTTCATCTTCACTATGGGTTTCTTCGCTGCCCATCATGGCCCGTCAATAACTAGGGTGGAAAGAGCCTCCCCTGTATGTTAATTCGTTATATATAGGGTCAAAACCCCCAAAGTACACAAAAAAGAGCCTCCCCCCGCCCCCCCCACCCCCAACTTCCTACAGCCAATCTATCGTTTCTCAACTAATGTTCGGTCTGTAAACAACAAGATCGGCGATTGTATGCCTGATTTACAGTATGGATTATGGACGGTTTGTGCTGTTTCTCAGTAGTGCAGTCTCAGCCACGGACGTACGCTTTTCTTCACAACTCCTTGCATAACGCAGCGCAACGACAGACCGGTATACTAAATATGTCATCGGTTCGTTATCTTTGAAATCTCTTTTCGATCTCGCGGCTTCGGGTCATTTACAAATAGATTTAAAAAGATATGAGCGCTTTTGACTTTTTTTCCCGAGGCTTTTAGTAAAGAAGGTGAGACTAAAATCCACAACACACAACGAACTTTTCTTTTTCTCACTCCAACTCAGGACTTTTAAAGTGAACGCTATACCATCTAAACAAATAAACCCGACACCCCGATTAAACCACAGGCTAAACAGCCAGAACACATATTTTTTTAATGACCACCAGCACTAGAACCTAGTCAACTATTACATCCTTCCCTAATTTCTAGTAGGCCAGAAGGATGAATGCAAAAGAAGCTGTTGATCTAATAATTAATAATAGAATTGGTAAATTTTTACTTTCACTCCCGCACACAGATGCACTGTTTCAGGGGTCAAACTGCTGTACTGTTTGCTGCAGATCACACATAAAGCCACTAAAACTGTCGCTTATCAATTATTTTCAAGACAATTTCAAATCTAACTGTAAAATATCAAATTATATGTAAAAACAGGGGGGCATGCCCCTCTGTAACCCCCCAGATTATCTTTTACACCAGT